AAACTCCTATAAGGATAGGTGAGTCCTCAACCTTCCCCAATAAAATATTCATTCCATCTAGCTTTAAATTAATTTCTTTTTTGTTTTTACCCCAAAACAAGTCTACTTTATTTGGTTCGGGATATGCAAATTGCGGGTTATTCGATTCGGTTAACCGGATAAAGATAACTTTATTGGGTTTAGATTCGGTTGATTTTCTGAAAATTCGGGTTAACTAATAACCCGAATAAGACCATTAGATTTAAATTCAATCTTAACTTGGATTATTTTGAAACCCAAGCTTGTTTGTTTTTTTATTTATTATTTTGGTTTGACTTATTGGCGATGTCAACTCATCATTCTAGTGTAATTGAATTCAATCTTAACTTGGATTAAATGTTGGTTTGTAACTTCTTCAATGTATCGGTAAATTGTTTCCAAGTATATGACAACTTTTCCGTTAAAAGTCTCAAAGCCTGTTTTGATCATATAAAAAGTAGAGTGAAATAGCTTATTGAAATATATCTTTGTCTTTATTCAATCATCACTTGGATGATATCTAATAAATGTTGGTTTGTAATTTAATTGAGTTTGATCTCGGTTCGACCAAAATGGTGGGGGTCAAAAGTGTTGCGCCCCTTGCGGGGTCCAAGGGGCAGCACCCTACTCCGAAAATTAAGAAAATTTTATGGAAAATATTATTTTCATAATATGTTTTTTTATGATTATCTTTGAATCTGTCATTCATTATTTACGTGATAAAATGAAAATTTAATGCTAATTTGCTATTTTATCTGTAGTTCGTAGTTTCTCATTAGTGTTTTGATTTGAAACTGTTTTTTGAAAGATTACCCCCAAAATATGGATTTCTAAATACCCAAACATAAGGTCGAAATATCATATTTGGAAAGTGATCACACGATCCTTCAAGCAGATCAATGAAAACTTTTGATTTCAAAAACGACCCTTCCTCCCAAACCTTAACATGATTTATCTGTTTTTGGTTTATATAAGAGCAAATTACACGAATGGTCCCTATGGTTTGGGGTAATTTACGCGTTTGGTCTCTAACTTATTTTTTTAACTCGGAAGGTCCCTACTATTTGTTTTTGTTACGCGCTTGGTGTAATTTACTCTAAACCAAACAGTAGGGACCTTCCGAGTTAAAAAAATAAGTTATGGACTAAACGCGCAAATTACCCTAAACCATAGGACCATTCATGTAATTTACTCTTTATATAACAAGGCCAACATAATGTGTTTGGGTTTTAAATAAGGAGTCTAACATTACATTTCGATTTTATTTATCTTTTTTGGATATAGATGCAGATATCAAAATTGGACATATACATCGAATAAAACTTTTGTTTTTATAGCTTCCTTCAACTCCTATCTTCACTTTAGGTCCACGACTATCATCAATTGGCCCATCTAAAGAGCCCAAAATGCCTCCTTAGCCCACAATCATTTTATCACAAACCATTATTCTCATATCACTTCTAGCTCAAAGCCTACTTCAGTTAGCCCACCTCCAGCGTCCAAAATGCTTCCTTAGGCTAGCCACAGTCATTTTATCACATACTCTTAGGGGCCGTTTGATAGTTACTGACTAAGAAATTATTGACTGAGAAAAGTCTGTCTGAGTAATAAATTCTAACTGAATAAGAAACCATGATGTTTGATTATACATCTGACTAAATGTGCTGACTGATGCAAAATGATAATTTTACCCTGGTGCTCTTTATAATAATAATAATAATAATAATAATAATAGTAAAAGTAGTAATAACAATAATAATAATAATAATAATAACAACAACAACAACAATAATAATAATAATAATAAAAATAATAATAATAATAATAATAATAATAATAATAATAATGTATACAAAACTTTCAGCATAAATGACATTAAATATACTATTTTAGAGATTAAAACACAAAAAACCCTTTAGCTTACTGGTAAACGCCATTGTGTGTACAGGGGAGACCCGAGTTCAATTCCCGTAACCTCCCATTTCACTTGTTGAGCTGCAATTTTTATTCAAAGGCAAGGGTATTATTGGAAAGCCTTGCTTTCTTTCTCAGTCAGCCTTCTGCCAACTCCTTTCTGGGTCAGACATTTCTTACCGAGTCAGATGACCAAAGTTGGATTATCAAACACATTTTGCTGACCGAGTCAGCCAAAAACGTCTGACTTGACTCGGTCAGACGCATATCAAACGGGGCCTTAGTCTTATATGTTACTGCAACACAAAACAAATTTTCAAGTTCAAACAGATCTTCCTGACTGAATGAGCCACAAAGACTGTTTGATTTGCAGAAAAAATGGATCTTTTCCGGTAATATATGTCTTTCCCAGAAAGCCCCAAAACCATATCTTTCTGGATGAATGATCATTTTTTATCATTCAGCACAGTCAGTCCGATGTACAATCAAACAACATGATTTATTTCCTAATCAGACAACTTTCTCATACATCAACTATCAAACGGATCCTAAGTTATAAACCAACATATATGAGATGTCATCCAAGTTAAGATTAAATAAAGACAAGATATATTTGTTGGATGCAAAGTTATTCAAGGATGATGACAAGGGCCTCCTTTTATGACATGTGGGTTAATTACCTTGGCTTGTGTATCTATAAATAGACATGTTGTATTCATTTAGTGTGTGACAAGATGTAGTCCTTGAATGAGTTGAGACTCTTTAACATAGATTAGATAGATTGCAATCTTCCCTTTTTGTAATTTCCTCATCATAGTTGAATACAATATCTTGTTCATCAAATACATCTTCATAATTGTGTTCGTTCTAATATTCCGCATCATCAAATCATTATATTTGACGCATCAATATTTTCACTAAGGTCCCGTTTGATAGTTTCTGTCTGGGAAAGTTTTCTGACTGGGAAAGAAACCATGCTGTTTGATTATACATCTGATTGACTGTGCTGAATGATGAAAAAAATTAATAATTCAATGAAAAATAAATTTAAAAAAAAGTTATTTAAAAAATTAATAATCCAATAAAGAAAGAAAGATGCGGAGTTTGGTGTATAATTGTATTTCCAGCCCATTCAGCCAGAAAAATATGATTTTGGGGTTTTGTGGGAAAGACATATCTTACCGGGAAAGACCCCTTCTTTTGTGCAAATCAAACAGTCTTTCCGGTCCATTCAGCCAGAAAGATCTATTTGAACCTGAAAAGATGTGTATCAAACGGGGCCTAAGTTATTTACTTACTTTTTATATGATCAAAACAGGCTTTGGAACTTTTAACGGAAAATGTTGTCGTATAAATGAAACAATTTACCCATACATTGAATAAAACTAGCTTTAGGACTTTTAATAGAAAATGTTGCTAGCTTTAGGAATTTTATTAAATAGTCATGTGAAAGCCCCGTTATTCCAAAATCATGTGTTGAAGTATCAACTCCAAAGTCTAAACAAAACTAAACCGTGAATAGAGCAACTCTTTGTTATTTTGTAATGTACCAGTTGTAAATCCAAAACACTATTAAAAAAAATGATCGTTAAAAACTACAACTCATAATCATATCATATAACTTTTAATAAAATATGTAATAAATTGCAAAAGAAGAATGAAAGTAGAATCAATGTTTTAAAAACCGGTTTGAACCGACTGGTTGGACCGGAAACCAGGAGAGGGAGCAGTTTAACTATTACCGGTCTTACGTCAATTTCTAAACCGGATTGAACCGACCAGTTTTTAGAGAAACCCGGTTGAACCGGTCAAAATAAACCGGTTGAACCGAATAAAAACACATGAAGAAGAACCATTTACATAATTAACTTTTGTGATTTTTTCAAATATATTTAGTTTTCTTTAAATAAAAACATGTGATAAATGTTATAAAGTTTTTTGATGTGTTTGTATTAATCTAAAACTATATTTTGTTTCGGTATTATATTTTGTTTTCTTTTTGATGTATATGGATTGATGTAAAACATTAAAACTTATGATTATATGTTATTTTAATGTATTTGGATTCACCTACAACTTATAATTATGTGTATTTTTAATGTTTGAACTTGTAAACATCAAATTCATGATTTATATATGTATGTATATGTAGGAAAATAGGAAAAAACATGAAAAATATAGAAATTTGTTGACCCGGTGGTCGAACCGGTTAAATCGGTTGAACCGGGAACCGGTCACCATACCGATTCAACTAAAAAACCGGTTTTTAAAACATTGAGTAGAATATTACGTAATGCAGCCATGAATTGTAAAGAACCTACGATTAACAAATTTTAGTCTTAGTTTCTTAGTTTGTGAAGGAAAAACAATTGGTCTAAAAGATTACAACATATGAAATCTTATTCACTTTACCCTTTAAATCGAACCGAATCCCAAAACCGATTAAACCGAATATTATTCGGTTTTATTACAGTTAAATTAAAATTGCTAAAAAAACCAATTAAATCAAACTAAGTAAACAAAATCCGATCAAACAGACTCCCTAAAACAAATATGAAGAAGGCCGGCCCTTATCCGTCTTATTGCCATCATCATCGAAGATGATCTTAACTAAAAAATAGTAATTCTAAAGAATTGTTTATACCACACTTCCAAACTTTTGAATCTCTTTCTTTTAAATAAGACAAAAAATAAACACATTCATACTAAAAGTTAAAACATAAAACTTGATTTATTAATTAACAATACTAATTTCAAAAAAATTGTCATATCTAGTCGGTAACCAGTGCTTCAGATTTCTATACATTATCTATATTCATAAAAAATATATATATAATTTTTGTTATCATAATTAAGAATTAATTATTATTTTGCTATTTGAGGCAATTTGATTTGAACTTTCAAAAAGCCATGTGGTGAAGAAAGAGGTGGTCACATGGCCATGGCTTCTCAAATCTTTACAATGTTTATGTTTCTAGGGTTTTAGTGCATGTGTGTGTGCTCAAAAAGAATCCTTTCTTGTATTCTTAACACTTCCAAGATTCATTAGTCTCTATTCTCTAACTCATATGAAATCCTGTGTTTATTTCCCAAAAACCCCATGGATTATTGCTTTTCTTCTCCCCATTCTCACATACGCTTACGGGTCTTTCTGTAATTTTCCCATCTTTTTCTTCCTCATCACAGTTTTGATATTAGTTTCTTCTACCTTTCTGTTCTTGCCACTCGCAAAACTCAAAGTACAAGTTCGTAAGAAAGAACAGTCGCAGCAACAAGATGGTCATGATCTTATCTGCTCTGATCGGAAGATCTCAAACCAGGCTCAAGATGAAGTAAAGATTGGATTTTCCGACAAAGGTTTGCCGGAATCTTTCTCGGAAAACGACATTATTGGCCGGTTTTCATCCACCAGTGAAGAAGATTCCGACTTTGACTGTGGGCAGTTTCCGAGCGAGAGTCCCGATTGCTCCGACGAGGAGAGCCTAATAGAAATAGAACTTCCGGCGGGGAAGTATGTTGGGTTGAAAGGAGGAGGAGAAGAAGATGATGAAGAAGAGTTGTGTTTTGAGCAATTATCACCGGAATCTATTTACCGGTGGTCGGAGATGAATGAGGAAGAAAATTTGATTGAAATCGACATATCCATGGGGTCCATCAAGTAATCATAAGCGTTGTTCGGTTCGAATGTAATCAATCGTGAAATTTTGTTCGCATGTATTTTGTCCGATCAAAACATCATGATTACTCAAAAATCAGAGTGCGCTCTTATATAAATATACTTATTTTTACTCAACTTCCTAAATGAAAGAGTGAAAAAAAAATGTTTTTTAAGATTTTAAAACTTATATTTACATAAAATATTATGTTAAATCCGATAAAGTAGCATTTTTTATCAAAAAAATAAAAGAAATGGAAAAAGGTGATGCATTTCGTTGAGTTTTTGTTGTGTTAATTTCCAATAATATATCGTATCCCATTCAAATATATACATTTGCAAGGGTAAAATTGTAGATATGTAATACCGAATAAAAGATATATATATATATATATATATATATATATATATATATATATATATATATATGTATGTATGTATGTATGTCATATGTCATATGTCATCCTATTAAACATCTTGATTAATAGTATGTCACTTGTAACCTATTGGATCTCCATTTTAAATTTTAAATTTTAAGATTTTTCACTTTAATTACGTTAAATTAATAACGTTAGAATAAAAATTAAAATAAAATTAATACAAATTATAAGGTGATATAATTTCACGTATTTATTTAAATTAACGATTATAATTTTATATAACTAAAAAAATATCTCTAAATTAATAATTTATTTAAAATAATTGATAATAATTTTGAATTTTTACTATGAAAGTTTAATTAATTTTGTAACCGTGGTTTCCACAGGTTATAAACTAGTATAATATATATAATATACAATAACCTCACCCCCCTCCCCTCTCTCTGAGTTTGAACGAGACGACAATTTTGGACATACTGACAAGATTTAAGGAGAGGTAAACGACGTTGACATTGTTTCATTGTCATCGTAGACAATGGTAGCAGTTTTAGGTGGTTGTTGGAATTTGCAAAGCAGATCGGGAAACCAACTCATGTCTAGGAAACAACATTGGCCATGTCGCCATCCTCAACTTTGGCACGAGATCTTGGACTTGACGTTTTGATGACCCTGAGAGGAGGTTTTGGCCAAGGCACACACAAAACCAGAGGTAGATCATGAAATACATCTCGTATGAGTTATTTGAAATGGTTATTTAAAATATATTTTAAGTAATTTTGATAACAATAATTTTTTAAAAAATCATTTTGCAAAATTTGGTCATAAATGGTCAAGTTTTAACATTTAACATTGTCAACACATACAATACAATGGTGTCATAAAATAATTAGAGTTACATTTAACACAAACAACTTATGACCATTAAAATCTAAAGGGCTAATGTCATAAAAACCCTCAAGTTTTTAGGGTTTTGTCGTTGAATTTTATGTCCGTTTTTATCCTAACATTTTCCAAAAAATGTTCGGTTTTACCCTTTTACCGGTGATAACAGGTTACCATCATATTAACTTCATAAAAAACCCTTAAGTATACAGTTTTTTTACGTTTTTACTCTTAAGTTTATAATTTTTTTACACTTTTACCCTATGTATTTTTTTCATATTATACGTATTCATGCAGAAAAATCATATTTATATACGAAAAAAATTTAATTAAATATTGTATTTACATTTTTTAATGTTATTTCTTTCTTTATATATATATATATATATATATATATATATATATATATATGTGTGTGTGTGTGTGTGTGTGTGTGTGTAGGTTTTTTTCTTGGATAAACCATTTAAGATGTAAAAAAACAAATTAATATGTTTTTAGAACTACAAATACGTATTTTTATGTATTTAAAAATATACATATCAAAAACTTGTTCAATCATAAACATGTTTATATAAGTATATACATATATTTTTAGAAGTGTAAATATGTATTTTGTTATATGTTTTTTTTTTAAGTATAAATATATTTTTAGAAGTATAGATACATATTAATATATAAAAATGTAAAAATATGTATTTATACTTCTAAAAACTATATCTATAAAACACGTATTCATAATTCTAAAAATATTATTTATCTTTTTAAATGATATAATCTTGCAAAAACACACACACACACAAACAAATATATATTATATATATATATATATATATATATATATATATAACATTAAAAAAATACAATATTTAATTAAACATTTTTTCGTATATAAATACGATTTTTCTGCATGAATACGTATATTATGACAAAAAAATACTTAGGGTAAAAGTGTAAAAAAATTATAAACTTAAGGGTAAAAACGCAAAAAAAAATGGTAAAGTTAAGGGTTTTTTTGCGAATTTAATATAATGGTAACCTAGAAAACCTATTATCACCGGTAAAAGGGTAAAACCGAGCATTTTTTCGAAAATGTTAGGGTAAAAACGGACATAAAATTCAACTTTGGGCAAAACCGACAAAACCTTGAAAACATGAAGGTTTTTATGACATTAACCCAAATCTAAATTACAATCACTACAACGAAATGAAGCTGATGCATGTTCGGTAAACAGTTGCATTAAGCCTTGAAAAAGTTGCATTTTGCCTAAAGTAACACTTTATCAACTGTCGTGTTAGCCGAAGTTGTCTTAGACCCAAATCAAATTTTTTTAAAAGTGCAACCCTTTTCCGGATTAGCTGCATGTATTATATAGAATACAAATTCAATCTGTTTTTACATGCAAATGCATCTTTTTAATGCTTAAAATATACTGTAATATATTTTTATACTTATATACAACTTTTAATACAATTTTAATTACAAAAAATACGACCTTGATTACACGTAAATTTAACCTAACAAAAATTATAGCATTTCCTTTAATCTAAATAAACTTTTTTTTGTTAGGTTTTATGATGCTAACCAAAACATGTTTTTTTCATGTTAAAGCAAAATTTCATTTACTAGAGTGGCACAAATATGTTTTTTTCATGTTAAAGCAACATTTTCAATTGTTAATATGACACCACGTATCTATCTATATATCTATATCTATATCTATATATACTTATAAAGGAAACTTTTTTTTTCCTTTCACCACATTCATTCGAAACTCTCATGCATTTTTCCTTTCACCACATTCATTTGAAACTCTCATGACTTTTCAATTTTTTTCTAATAATAATTATAAGTCGGTTAATAAGGTTAAATAAATATCAAACCTAAAGTGTAATCATATATAAACTAAGTTTCAATATTAAAATAATATCTTTAATTCTACTTATAAAGTTATGTTTTTTTTAACTTTTAACATATTATACTTAATTTATTAGTTTTAATATATTGTTGGATGTAAACCATTATCATTTTGAACATACAACTTTGGAAAAATTTGTATAAAATACTTAAATTATTAATTTAAATATAACATTACCTACTCAACTTAAATATAAATTTTAATTTAACTTAAACAATCAAAAAAATATTTTGTAAATAGTTAAAAGTGATAAATTGTAGTGTCTTTCTAATAATGATTATAAGTTGGTTAATAAGGTTAAATAATCAAACCTAAAGTGTAATCATAAATAAACTAAATTTCAATTTTAAAATAATATATTTACTTCTACTTATAAAGTTATGTCTTTAACTTTCAACATATTATAATTAATTTATTAGATTTAAAATATTGTTGTATGTAAACCATTATCAATTTAAAGCTACAACTTTTGAACAGCTTAGACAAAATACTTAAATTATTAATTTAAATACATTACAGTGTCAACTTAAATATAAATTTCAGTTCCACTTAAAAAACCAAAGAGTATTTTGTAAATAGTTAAAAGTGATAAATTGTAGTGATAAATGCAAAAACTAAAATGTAATCTCAATTTAACTAAAATATTTCCTAAATATATTTTTATAATGGTTAAAAGTTTTCAAATAAGTAGCTTAAAATAACTTACAATAAAAATAGTTAAAAATAACTCTATATAAATGATTATATTATTACCTTTAAAATCAAAAAACAATGTTTGATGTTTTAAATAATTATAATGATAGAACTTAAAAAGTTAAGCAAATAAATTTTAAAATATTAATTAACAATAAAAACAACTATAAATAACATTAAACCATATATTATATTTAATTTTATTCATGTGTAACTCGCGGGTATAAGTCATTCAAACGATTGAAATTATGCACTTATAATAGATGTATACATTATCATATAATTCAAAATAATCAATATATTATATCAATTTAGTATACAAATTATTATATCAAATTTAACAACAACGTTCTTGTCATATTTAAAAAAAATATATATTTATAAAGACTTCAACTATATAGGTGTTTCTGCGCAACGTGCGGACGTTCGCCTGGTTCTATTATATTTGTAGCATCATTGTTTCACGTAGGAAAATTGCTATTAATATGCATTAGTTGTTTAATTACACATTTACACCATAACATTAATATATATATATATATATATATATATATATTATATATATATATATTATATGTATACACACTAGCCCCAAAGCGTGTACGCTAAGCGTACAAGCTGAGTACGCCCAGCGTACTCAGCAGGTGGGCTTCGGTTTTAGGCTTCTCGGTTTTGGGCCATGTGTGGACCTTAGGAGTTTAGGTATTTGTTGGGCCATCAGATTTCTAGTTTGGACTCTTTTGGATGAAGGCCCACGAAGGGGTTTAGGCCCAATTGGAAGATTGGGCCATAGATGGGCTTGGGTGACTATTTTTGGAATTGGGCTTTTTTAAGTAATTGGTTTGGGTTTTGGCCTTGGGTAAAGTTAGGTAAATGGTAAAATGGTCTTTAACCCTAGTTTGGACTCTTAGTATGAGCCGTGATCTAATTATTAATTGGATGTTATTTTATGATGATAACGCGGGGATTTTCGGACCAGCAACTAGAGATTTATCTGTGAGATTCAGCAGCCTGATGTGAGTCTTCCTCACTGTGTTTAGCGGGTCAAAGGCACCAATGCCGACCCATGGTTATTATGTTAGGGTGCTAGATGTCTGCATGACTCTTGCATGTGTATGTGTTTGTATGGTTAGTGG